ATATTTGTTTTTCAGTAAATGCAGAAAGGCAGAGAGGAAGTCAAGCTGTGCTTTTATAATTTTTTTCTACATTTTTTTCTGTTTTTTATTGTGTTGCCTCTGTTGGGATAAAATGTATAAAATTATTAATTGAATATTTGTATCATTTTTTTTCTAAATTATTTTTCTGTGCTTAATTGTGATTTTTTTTTTGTGTGTTTCCTGTGTTTTTCGATGAAAATGTTTAAGATTTTTTGACAAAAAGAAGCTGTTGAAGGTAAGTACATCAATTTATTATTCAATTTAATGCGAAAATTCAATTTTATAAAAATCAGATGTATAATAAAAACAAATTGCTGTTGAATTTGAACTAGCGACCTGCCGTTTTGACCTAACTCTGACTTTGACTCCGACTCTAGTACATCTATAAATTTATTTATCAAACAAGCAATTATAGTTTTTTCATGGAAAACCTTTTATTTTTCTTAGCTTAACTCATCCTTTTGACCGTAGGGTATTTAAACTTCGGCGTGCCGCAGCTACGCATTCTCTCTTTTATTAATAATGTTTTTTTTTGTGTTTTTTGCGCCTGCAGTCATCTTATTAATTTTATTGAGGCAATCGCAAGCGATTCGCGGTTTTTACTTTGTAATTTTTATGGTAGCTTTTTGTTGCTGCTTTTGTTGTTGTTATTGTGTTTTTAGCCGTTTTTTAATGTCATTAACAAATTTTTGTTGGAACCGCTGCGCTGTTATTAATCATTCGAAATGAATTGTTTTTTTCTGTTTGTGTTTTCATCTGTTTATTGGATTTTCTTTTTGTTTGATTTGATTTATGTTTGGAAATTGGTGTTGATTTTTGCCAGCCTCGTGATGTGCTCACCTTTTCACGCTAAACATTTAAATTGAATGAAATTGCATTTGTACTCGAAGGTTGCGCCGTTAACGACAATTCCCTCAAGTGTTTTTTTTCTGATTTGTTTATAATTATGCCAAAGTGTTCTTGATCGAAGAGTTAATCAATTGTTTAATAAAAAAAATAGTTATTGCTTTTTGTTCTTAATCGGAGCGAATCGAAGCCGGAACTGAAATTCTTTCCTTAATATAAACTAAACTGTAAAAGCTGGTTCAAACTGGTTGAATGAAAAGAGCTGGTTCAAACCTCAAATTGAACCAACTTCGCAAATTGAACTCAAAGACGAAGTGCTGGTTCAAGCCTCAAATCGAACCAACTTCACAACTGGAACTCAGGCAAATAGCTGGTTCAAATCGCGAATCGAACCATTCTTTTATTATATTTGCTCTGTTTATATTTAACAATCTTATCAATCGAGCCGATCTTTTATTGGGTCTCGCTAACTGCTTATTAGCTTATCCAAACTACACACAATTTCCATAATAATTAGAGACAATCCACATGGTTTTTATCAAATACTGAAATGCGGGCAAATAATGCAACCGGAATTATAAATCAAATTGCCACTAATATGCCAGATATATATCGGGCTAATGTCCGTGTGTAGACATAGCTTCATGTTCTGTGTGCATAACATCAACATGGGCGTGGCATTTGAGGGGCGTTCGATAATCAGCGCACGCCATTTTGAATGTCACGTTGTTTTAGTCTGTTGTTTGTTTTTACACAGCACGAAATTTGGTTAACTTTTTATTATTATTAAATTGCAATCAACATTTTTTAATCTTGTAGTAAAAGTGGTGGACAAAAGTTTGATGCCAACTTATTTGAAAACTATTCTTTTTGACTTAAATTTCAATTTTGGACAGTGTATTCACACATATACATATATGTCGTTTGTATGACCATGCCTGCGTTTTGTATTGGTTACGTGTGAAACTAAAGGCAATTTTCCTCAGTCAACTGTCAATATGGAATTCCATAGACTATAGATAGCCGGCATAGTTGGCTCTAAGTCGGGCATTAGCTGGGCCTGCCAATTGCTGACGTGACTGAAAATGATATTGTAAACGATGTTGGTTAAAATCCAGTTTGCATGGCACTTAGCAAACGCAGCAGCAGCTCGACACGTTTGCATTCGCCATCTAATTGCAAATTTATGTCGAGCATATTATATCTCTATACACATTAAAGAGTTTGACTTGATTGATTGATTGACTGATTGACTGATTGACTGACTGGTGATGTTTACTGAAGCTTCCTGAGACGAGGTTTTCGAAAATTGGAGCACCAAGTGGGGGAAAAAGATCAATAGCACACAAGTGCCTAAGCGTCGGACTAACAAAAGAGAGGTCGCCGGTTCAAATATAGCAGCAGAGACAACTAGTCTCTCAGTTTAAAGCTGTTGTCATGAAAGTTTGCATAAGTCCCTCTTGCAGCACATATGTCGCAACTAACTGGATCGAGCCACTATATTTTATAGCTGCCATAGAAACGATAAGTCCAAAATGAGGTTCTTGTATGAACAAGTTTTTTGTTTTTCAAGATATCTTGACCAAACTCGACATTTATTAGTTTTACTTCGGATCTCACATATTTGCCAAATCCTATCAACATCGGACCACAATAGCATATAGCTGCCATAGGAACGACGGGTCAGAAACTAAGTTCTTGTATGGAAAAGTTTTTTGTTTTTCAAGATATCATGAGCAAACTCACCCTTTATCCTTTTTACTGTGTTCCCTACATTTATGCAATATCTTATCTACATCGGACCGCTATATCATATAGCTGCCATAGGAACGTGTGGTGAATAATTAAGTTGTTGTATTGAAAAGTTTTTTATTTTTCAATATATTTCGGCATTAACTATTTTCCCTGAGCTTCTTCGATGCTGGCAAAATATAATGGGAACTATAAAAAGGCGTGATAGAAGAAGATAGCCTGCTTTCTCGTGTTTCTTTTAAACAAATGATTGCAATAAATGCCTTGTGGTATATGTATGTGTAAAGCTGGTGCGTTTTAGAGCTGGGCAACGCCGGTTGATTTTCTCTGGTATATTGTAGTTAATATGCTTTTTGGCACCCTCTTGACTGGGCATTAAGTATACGTCTAGTTGAACTAATTTGTTGCAAGTGCCTCGCTCCCAGCCCGCAGCCCGCAATACGCCACAGAAGAGCGGCAACCCGCATGTTGTAAAATGTTTACACTGCTATCTGTCAAATCAACTGTCAACTCAAGATCTTTTCTTTGTTGTTGTTAATGTTGTTGTTGTTTGAGTTGTTGTTTTATTTGTGTTTTGTGCGTTTTGTGGCTCACGCTTGGCTGGGTCGCATCTTTGGCTGCCATTGCGGCTGCCTTTTGTCAAGTGGGAAAAGTTTTTCAGTAATTAAATTGTAATTAGGGCTGCATCCGCTGCACCCCTCTTCCCCCCCTCCCTTACTTTAGCTGTCTGAGCCAATTGTCTTGGCGTTTTATCAAGAAGCAGCCCGTGCCTCGGCCATTATTAAGCATTATTTTGGGCACATAATTGACGAACCCTAACGACAATTGCATTGTCTGAAATCGCAACAACTTTTCAGCCATTTTTACAACAATTTCCCCCCCCCCATTTTCTACCATTTTGTGACATTTTTTTAATTATTATTTGTGTACAGTTTTGTCGTTAGCTAAGGCTTATTTAGCTGGAGGAACAGCCTGCTAATTACCGCCCGGCTGCTCTGGAACGGAAGTTCCAGCGCAATGCTCACGAGCTGCGCCTTTTGATCAGGCTTCTATTAGCCAAGATTGTTGGCCAACCGGATGGCCTGGGCTGCCCTGGGAAAATCAGTTTGCGAAACGTGGCGGCGCCCCGGACTGCATAATCAGAGGGAGAATCATCAACATAATCAGATTCGTAATCACAATCATAAACAGAGTCGTAAGCGCAATCATATTGCGGCCGAGGAGTCAATGCCAGTAGCTGGCTCAGTTGTGGATGCCACAAATTGTGGCTGCTACGTGCGGCGCGTAAATTCAATTTCAGTAGCTGCTTTTTTGCTTCTTCTTCTTCTTCTTTATGCAACACAATTGAGTCAGCGGACGAGCTGATGGATTGCCAAGTCCTTGTCTCCCCCTCTCTGACTCCTTCTATCTGACTGCTGTCCGGCTGTCCGTCTGTCCGACTGGCTTAACGAGAAATCAACGCCGCTAAGCAAATTATGGCGAACGATACGCATGCGCCGATGCCATCAGAGATCAGTTGGAGGCAATCAATGTGTGGGGAAACAGCTGAAAACTGAAAACTGAGAACTGAAGCCGTGTCGGCTAATGGCTAAAATTGATTTAGCCATCTCGGCTCTGGCCTGACCTCAACTACTGTTTTTACGCCTTAAGCAGAATCTCATCAGGCAGCGAGTAAGAGTGCTCTAGTCTAGGGAGTGAACGACTAGCAGATGCCCTGTAACCAAACGACAAGCTGCCTTGACAAACATTCGAGTTTCTTTTTATACATAAATGGACATTTTAGCATTCCATTTGCTTCATAAAATATTATTATAATACTCGAGTTTTATATAAAGAAACCCTGTCTGGAAATCGATATTTATCGATATTATAAAAATCACAAAAACGATAAACTTGGTCTGCTTATGGGAGAATATAATATTCTAATTTTAAGTCCCAAGCTTTTGTAGTTTCCGGGATGGAAGCTTTTACACGGATGAATATACTTAGACATTCTCCAGATCAAGAACTTATATTCCTTATAGGAGATCTGGGATATAAAATGGGATATTATATGGGATATTGCATGGGAATATACTTAGACATTCTCCTGATCAAGAACTTATATTCTTTACAGGAGATATGGGATATAAAATGGGATATAGTATGGGGAGATAAGATGGGAGACACTTTCTTTTGCCTGTCACATATGCTCACACAAAACCCGTATACCCCATTCACACATTTTCAATGGGTTCAGGGTATAGCAATTGATCAAGTCGAGAGTCGAGGTAATGGCTGATGAGCTGCCGAGATGCTCCAAATCAGTTTATATTAAAATGTAATTTACTTGCGGTTGCGGCAACACTGGTTGTAACCAGAGTAGTTGGGGCAACACTTACCCTGCTCCTCGTCAAAGTTTTTGGTCGATAGCTGAAAGAGCGCATCGAGCGGCGTATCGGCGCCCGCTGCTGGTTTCTGGCCGGGATCAGAATTCTGTGCAACTATTTGCTTTGATTTCTCCTCTGGCTTGGCCTGGCCTTGGCGGGGCGTGCAGCAGTCGGTGCTGCCATTGCTGCTGCTGGAGCGCTGCGAGCGCTCCTCGGAGCTGCCATCCTCGGAGGGTATGGGTATTCTGGCGGGATCCAGGCTCATCTGGCGCAGCAGCTGCGCCTGGAAGTGCTCCTGCAGCTGGCGCTGATAGTCCCACGCCAGGCGCTGCTCATAGCTGTGCAGCAGCGCCGGCGGCAGAAACGGATGCAGTCCCGGATGCAGCATGGCCGGCGCCGCTGTTGCCACCACGGGCTGTGGCGCTTGCAGGCGCTCTGTGGGCGCCACAGCCGGGCGCTCCTCATCCGCCCGGCCCAGTATATCGGCTATGGAGAAGCTTTTGATGCGCTCGCCGGCGCCCGGCTGGCTGCACTTGCGTATGGTCGCCGGACTGCGCAGCATACGCAGGCGTTTCATGTTGAGCGGCATCGGCGGCGGACTGGGCGAGCCCACGGAGATTTCGGATACGGCCGGACTGCTGCAGCTGCGTGTGGCGCTCATGGCCACGGGACTCGGTGTGCGTTGCGGCATTTCAATTAGCTTCAATCAAGTTCAAAGGTATAATATCTCCGTTTAGTTCTTTAATTTCTGGTACACATTTTACACATTTAGATATGTTCGATTCGGGCCAAAACCGCGTCGGCAAATACGCGCACAACGGCAACAAAAGCGACAGCGACTGCGAACGTGCAACGTTCCACATTCAACACAGCAACGCGAGCGTCAGCCGCTGCGGCTCGGCTCTCGCCTCGCTGAAAATGGTTTTTGGCAGACTGTGCTCTCCCTCTACCTCACTTGCTCTCTCTCGCTCTCGTTCTTTGGCGCTGCCTGGCCCCTGCCCCCTATTCCCTCGCTGCCAACAACCAGTTTGGAGCGAACGAAAACCAAACGAGTTTGTGTTCGATGACGTCACAGCTGCAGCTGCGCAGTTCTTCTGCTTCTAATTGGAATTGCTGCCAAACAGAGGCGTGCATTGAGCTGGCCAATCAGCGTGCGGTATGCGCTCATTACCCGCTCTCTCACTCACACACACACACATACACACACACACACATACTCTCGCATTAGCTCAACGGGGCTGTCAACGTGCGAACGTCATCAATTTGAACAATTTGACATGCGCTCGTTCGAAGCTCTCGCTCACACATTTACCCTTTACGCCCGACTCTTCACGTTGACTCACTCTCTCGCTCTCCCTCTCCCTCTCTCTCTTTTGCTCATTCTTGTGCGTTTTGGTGTCGGGCTGCCTTTCCGCGCGGCTGACTGTGTTAATTATCGTAATTGCTGCTGCTGCAGTTTCTGTCCTCTTTACTCGCTCTCCACTCTCCACTCTCCGCTCTTCGCACACGCACTCGCGCTCCTCTTCTCCTTTTTCGTTAACTCCTGCCTGTCCAGCTGCTCGCTGGCGCACTCAATTGTCATCAATAATGATGTCTAGTTTCAGCCTCTGCGCTTGTACCGTTTTGTTTTTCTTTTCGCCTTTTCGCCTTTGTGTGAGCGCCTATTTTCGCCGCTGATGTATTCGCTGACTGCGGCAATTTGCGCAGTCTTTAAAATCAGCTTTGGGAAGGTGTCGCTGTCGACGTCGACGTCGACGTCGCTGTCGGCGTCGGTGTCATAGCCCCATTCTCGCTCTTATGGCGAAGTAAAAATATATATGTATATGCATGTGTATATGTACATAGATATGTGTGTTTGTAAGTGTGTGCATTCGTATATTTTGCTTTGGCACACATTCTCGTGCTCTTTGCCTGCTCTTCTTCTGCCTTTGTCATTGCCACACTCGCTGCCCCCCTCCCTCTTTCTTGGCCCACTCGTCACCCCAGGCCCTTGTTGCATTGCATTTAAATTGATTGCAGTAAATCACATTTGTCTTTTGCTCAGCTTTTGCACTGTTACATATACGTCATGGGTGTGTGTGCTCACTTGTTCATGTGTGTGTGTGTGTGTGTGTGTGTGTGTGTGTGTGTGTGAGTGTGTGTGAGTGTGTGTGTGTGTGTGTGTGTGTGTGTGTGTGTGTGTGTGTGTGTGTGTGTGTGTGTGTGTGTGTGTGTGTGTGTGTGTGTGTGTGTGTGTGTGTGTGTGTGTGTGTGTTTGTGTTTTATTCAATTTTTGCTTCGTTGTTTGTCCTGGTTTTTTCCGACATATCTTTTGCATGCAAATGTCTATTTAACTGCAATGCGCCCCCTCCTATCTCCCCCTCCTACTGTTGCACCCACCCACCCCTCGTGGACTTAGCTAAGTGAAATGATGCAACTGTTGAACCGGAATCGATAATACATTTTATGCCCTTCTCAAGTAAACATACCTTGGCTATGTCGGCACTCTATGATATAAGAACTTGGCATATTCCAGAGTTCCAATAAGAACGAGTGCACTTCGAGACAAATCGGAGTCATCCAAGAATTTTTAAGAAATTTATTCTCATATATTTTTTGCATTTTTCAAACTTTTCTAAGTTTTTCGAAGAACAAAATATATACTTACAAATTTAAAAGCAAAACAATGAAAGTCACATTCCAGTCAATTTTCTTCTTCTATTACTACATTTCTCTCAGTGTACATACCAAATATAAGAAGAACTCTTGTAAAACGTATTTGAATCAGTATTTTATTAAATATTTTTAACTGATTTTTTCCATTTAATATCAAGTCGTTAAATACTTAATTCAAGTGCTTTTAAGAACAATATATGCTTAAAATTTAAACAAGAATATGTTATGAGAATATACTACATTTTTTTTTTATATATTTAGATAATGATCATCTTTTTGTATTTGAAGTCAAGATAAGTTCGTATATAGAAATATACTTTCAAGGTAAAAATTGTTAATTTTCTCGTAGTGTATAGACACGAGCCAGACTGACATTTATCCCTTTCTTGATTATAAGTTCCGTTTGATTTTAAAATAGAAATTTACATAAATCTATTCTAAATGAAAATAACTTAACGTATATTGTTTTCTCACAATTTACATAGGATATTCTGACTAGGCTTAAAGGGCATCAAAGGTGCGACGATTTCTGCTTCTTGTTTCGCCGGATTGTTATCAAATGCAATGCTGTTGCTTGGCATTTGCCGTTGGTTTCCTTTTGCTTCAAGATGGCCGTCTGTGGCTTGATTAATGCCTGCACTTGACTTAAATGTTGTCCCGGTTGTTGTTGTTGTTGTTGTTGTTACCGCATAGCAACGCGCCCTTCAGCTGTTGTAGCTCTATCTAGATATGTATATTCGAAATCAATTACAAAATGTGGCTTAATTGGGCGCCTCAATAGACGCGACACGCCCTGTCAATCATAATTAGCGCGACGCGCCCCTAGCCTAGCCTAGCCTCGACTTGCCCCGATTTGACACGCCTCTGAAAAATTTGTGCAAATTCATAAGCCAAATGCATGGTATCGGTATCCTTTTCATTAGTCAGCACAAGATGGCCGCAGAGTGTGTTCATTAAAACCTCATAAATAGCTGAAGTGTTTATTGTCGCAACAGACAGAGGGACAATGAGGGGACGGCGAGGTGCTGGCGAGGGTACAGCTGGCAGACCCGGGCAAGTCCCAAGGGAACGAGTACACTCCGGGCGAGTATTTGTATACAATATCAACGTTTATGGCTTGAGGGGTGTGTGGTGCGGTGAGAGGGGAGGGAGGGGAGGTAGGCTACACAGCCACGAGTGTCACTTGGTAATAAAGTCATTGGCATCGTTGTTCTTGTTGTTGTTGTCACGAATTTCGTCACGCCCCTTCGGGCGGTCTCGGATGCCGGCAATGCATTAATGTCGCCTTTTGTTTAGCTGTGACTGCGACTGCGACTGCGCCTGTGACTCTGCTTGCGGCTCCTGGTGATGAAGTTGTGTGCCACATTTTGTGGCAAATGCCCAAAATGCCGCATGCCATTTCAAATGAACAGCTCGAACAGCGCGATTCTCAGCTGTGCCCAAAAGCCTGTGACGAATGCGCTTATGAGTGCCGGGCTCTAGAACAGCGATCAGCTATCAGCTTTGGTCACACTGGTTGACAGAGAGAAAGACAGAGAGAGAGAGAGAGAGAAAGGGAGAGAGAGAGAGGGGGAGGGGGAGAGGGTCTGCAACACCTGCAGCTGTCAACATTTTGGCAAATAATTATGCAGATTTTGACCACAAAACGAAAGCGTTTTGTGTCAGGCAACAGAACATGTTTATAGCAATTACTAGCTGATCGTACACTCAGAGAAAATATCTAGTATATCAGAGAAAAAGTCTAGTATTCTAGAACATTTCTATAGCAATCATTAGCTGATCGTGCACTGAGAGAAAAAGTCGAGTATATCAGAGAAAAAGTCGAGTATTTTATAAAATTTCTATACTAATTACTAGTTGATCGTGCACTTGGAGAAAAAGTCGAGTACATCAGAGAAAAACTCTAGTATTCTAGAACATTTCTATAGCAAATACAAGTGGATCGTGCACTCAGAGAAAAAGTCGAGTATTTTGTACTCAAATGTTTGACTAACTTCGGAGCTTACAGTCCGATCTCTATGAAATTTACAGAGATTAAATATGACCAAAGGGTGAATATACCAAGGTTAAAGGCTTTACCTTTCCAATTCTAGAAGAGCATAAAAAATGTGATATATTTTGTATCTATACGAGAGTGAAACATATTCTGGGCTCACAGAACCGAATCTTTAGGCTAGGCTATGATTATTCATGTGGGAATTGTATTTAGAGCCCCGATTTTGTCGAGTGTCTTTTATTGGATTGACTTGCTTAAGTTGAGCCGAAAAGCCGCAATAATCAAACTTAAGTGACATCAACAAAGTAGTTGCTGCTGCCGCTGACCGCATTCAAATAATTGGCTCGCAGAGCAGAAGAACGCAAAGTTTAGCCAGAAGAAAGAAGAGATGATAAACGGGCAGAAGAGACACCTCGGTCTCCGGCTCGGTTAATATTTTTGAAACCCTTTGTGATAAATCAAAACATTATCAATAATAAAATCGGTAGCTGTTTGCCCCTTGGCTGCATTTTGAGGGGGGGGTCATTTTGATGCGGCTCTTTTTTGTGGTCAACAACAAAAAACCGAAACACAAAAACACGAACCTTTCAAAAAAAAAAAATAAAAATACTTTTCTGAGTGGCTCGGCTTTAATTTGTATGCAAATTGAAGTTTGAAGTTGAATTTCTCGATAAAGCTTAATGTCAAAGGGGGCAAGGGGCCAGTTCGGGTCTCTCACTTAAGTGACAGACATTAACACTTTTGTAGTTGGAGCTGTGAAACTTTTGATTTTCACAATATCTTGTGGGTCTCTCCTTCTCCACTTCTTATCGATGGATATAGCGTCTGGCGTCAACGTCAATTCATTTGGCATCAAACGAACTAACGACTCTTCGCCTGAATCATATACCCAAAAGACATAGACACACACATATATATATATATATATATATGGCTGGGGGCTGGAAACGGGCTACGTGTGTGTTCTGCACGCGCAGTATCTAATTGGTTGGTAGCTGGAAGATGGGGAATCTATATGGATATTGATCTGGCGGCTTTTGTGTCTGATCTGGCCGAACTCGGGACAGAGCATGGCCCATAACATTATCGCATTTAAATGGAGCAGTGCAACGTAAAGATAACACATTTGGCCTGCCTGCTGAATGGAGAGATCTTGAGAGATCTCAATAGATTGCCAGCTTTTATTTGGTAGCCAACCTTAAGGCTCAAATTTAAGCAGCTTCAAGTTCTTATCTTAGCAGAAGTTGTTACAGTTCTCAGTA